GCGTGCCCCCCCACCCGCCGGCACCCTCGCCCACCACTGCCCCTCTCCCTCCCCTCACCAGGCCCAGCTGGCGGCGTGTGCCAAGGCCCTGGAGAGCTCGGAGGAGCTGCTGGAGGCGGCCAACCAGGCCCTGGGGACGGCCAACCACCACGACTTCCCTCAGGTGTGTCCCCGCCAGCGCAGGGTGATGTCCCCATCCGCCTGCCCCCCACGCTGGGGGTGTCCTGACACCCCTGCCTTGCCACCCCAGGGCTGCACTCACCTTGGGTGGGCACCCTCCTTTCCTTCTGTGCTGGGCACTGGGGCAATGCTGGGCTGGCTGTGCCCGCTGCGGGGCTGGGTGGGAGCATGGAGACCCCCCGGGGTGATCCCCCACCTGCCCAGAGCTGCCCGGTGTCCCCTTTCTGCTGCGACAAAGGGACATCATAGCTGGGACATGGGGAGCACCGGCGGGCAGATGGGATGCTGTGCCATGGGGGTGCTGCGGCCGGGATGCAGGGATGCTGGGGTACCATGGCAGGGATGCAAGGATGCTGAGCTGCTGGGGTACCATGGCCAGGATGCAGGGATGCTGGGGTACCACAGCAGGGATGCGGGGATGCTGGGTACCATGGCAGGGATGCAAGGATGCTGAGCTGCTGGGGTACCATGGCCAGGATGCAGGGATGCTGGGGTACCACAGCAGGGATGCGGGGATGCTGGGTACCATGGCAGGGATGCAAGGATGCTGAGCTGCTGGGGTACCATGGCCAGGATGCAGGGATGCTGGGGTACCATGGCAGGGATGCGGGGATGCTGGGTACCACGGCAGGGATGCAGGGATGCTGGGGTACCACGGCCAGGATACAGGGATGCTGGGGTACCACGGCAGGGATGCGGGGATGCTGGGGTACCACGGCAGGGATGCAGGGATGCGGGGGTACCACGGCCAGGATACAGGGATGCTGGGGTACCACGGCAGGGATGTGGGGATGCTGGGGTACCATGGCCGGGATGCTGAGCTGCTGGGGTACCGCAGTGGGGACATGGGCACGCTCTGGCACGCTGGCCCTGGAGTGGGGGCCTGGGCACGCTGTACCGCGCTGGCTCCTGGCACTGCTGTCTCACCTGCTTTTTTTTTCCTCCTCTTTTCTTCCGTGCTCGCAAGGCTGCCAAACAGATCAAGGATAGGTACGGCACCCCGTGCCCCCCAGTCCCACTAACCCCCACCCTCCTCCTGGCCAGGGCCCTGCGGCGGGTGGCCCCGTGGGTGCTGGGCTGGCTCTGCTGACCCTCCCCACCTCCCCACGGCCACGCAGGGCAGGGGGTGAGCAGTCAGGGCTGGGTGGGTGCCTGGCTCCCGGCCCCACTGACCCTCGTCCCCTGTGCCCCATGCAGTGTGACGATGGCACCCGCCTTCCGCCTCTCGCTCAAGGCCAAGGTGAGCGACAACATGAGCCACCTGATGGTGGATTTTGCCCAGGAACGCCGCCTGCTCCAGGCCCTCGCCTTCCTGCCAGGTATCGCCCGCAGGCAGCGGGTGACGGGGACACAGGGGGGGGACGGACATGGCACGGTGGG